AGAAAAATAAGGGGAGTGAGAGATAGAGAAAAAATAAGGGACAGAGATGAAAAAATCAAATCAAATATTTATATATTTGAAAATATTATCAATAAAAAAGAGAGAAAAAAATAGAGGATAAATAGAGAGAGTAACATAGAGAGAGAAAATAGGGAGGAGAAAATACGAGAGTAATGGAAAGAGAATGAAAGGAGAGAGAGTAATAGAGTAGTTAATGGTCTTTTAGTCTTTTATAAAAAAAATGTACTTTTGGCTAAATAAGTTTTCTTAATGTAATTTTAAGTTATTTAACTCAATTAAGTCCAAAATTATTTATTGACTTCCTAATTTCTCTCCTTTTGCCCCACCAAATTTTGAGTTTTTGGCCCAACTTCATCAAACCATTTCTCCTTCAATTCAACACCAAACTGGGTGATTCAAAAGCCTGAACTACTCCTTTTGAACCCTACTTTCAATCTCCAACCTTAGTTTGGAACAAAACCTACTCCATTCTTACAAAATTTGAGCTAGAGTCGGGTCAAAATTCATTTTATCAATCAAACCCAAACTTGCAACTCAACTTTTCACCCTCCAAAACTTAATATTTAACTAATATAATCCCGAAAATTGAGTTCCTAGATTCCAAAACTAGTGAACCACACACCCCTTCACACCTTAAATACCATTTTTAAAGATTTCACAAATTCAAGTTCAAAAACCTAAACTAGGGTTTTCCATTTCCTCACCTATACACTACGGCTTCAATTGCATAAAATACATGGGATTTATGTTATAATAGGTTCATATAAGTCATATAACCTGAATTTTTTAAAATTTTCAAATTCGTTTCTATCCACTACTTCCTACCCAAATCAAACACTATAATTGAGTTCCTGGAAGTGATTAGAAACTTACCTTGATGATGGTTGCTCTCCAATTGCTAGAAATTCAAAACTCCAAATTTTTATCCTCACATTTTTCTCCATCCAAAATTGTTTCTCTCTATAACTTCTCTGTTTCTCAACGATCTGGTGAGCCTTAGAGACTTAAGGATAGGGCGAATCTCCTTTGTAGAGTAATCACGGCCTGCATGCCCCCAAACGCTCCCCAAATGCCACCAGCAACTTGCACCATGTTGAGGTCTTTGGACTTGGAGTGGCATTTTTGATAACTATTTGAATTTTGAATTTTTTTGAATTTAAATATACTTAAATTCCTCTTCATTAAAAAAAATATTCTAGATTCCCAATAGCGTTAACCTATTGGATTCGACGACCCCTATATGGGAAATTCCATCAAATTCACCTAAATCATCCGTTCTTACCATTTTTGGACATGTACAATCATCAAGTTTGAAATATATAAACCTAAAACATTCACCTTATTGAATATGAGCTTCCAATCTACTCAGAACTAGGTCATTACATTTTGTATCGCGTTCTTCCGTAATTATTTCTTAGTTCTACAATTACCGTTTGATATGTTGTATTTTCTGTATTTTACTTTTAATCTATCTGAGTCTCACAAGCTCACCCCATTTACCATCTTTAAAGTTAGATTACATGAAACTATTGGCCCCACATGAAGGGATGTCTGCCGATCACTTTTTGAAAAATATTGTGATGGATAATACTTCTATAGCTAGTTTGCGGTCCACTGACCGCGCAAGTGCAAGATGTTAATCGAAGTGCAACACAATAATTTTTGGGACCTAAACGCCAGTTGACAGTCTCACAAACTTCCATGGAATGAGTGCGGAAAAGTTCTTTTGAACTTAAACATAATGGTGTATCGTATGGGCCTCCCATACATTGTTTGGGGTTACTGACAGAACTACATGGATACCAAGGGGGGTTTGTCCCCCTCATCCTTTTAAAATTATCCTATTCCCTCTTTAGGTTTTCTATGTTTTTGTAGGTTTTTATATAAAAGATATTCAATTAGTATATCGAAATGCATACTAACATGACATTAAACATTTACTAATCAAATGGGGGATATTTTTTATATGGATTAGTAGGTTCTTATAAAAAAAAATACTTGTTTGGAAAAATTTGATGACCAACAGAAAAATGAAGAAAATATGTTACAAAATCAAGGTATAAACGTGATTTTATATCATCAATAATACACTAACTCATCACTTAAGTTTACAATGATATCAAGTGAATACTTATGATGGGTGTATAATTCAAAATTTTTGCATCATGTCATAATGGGAGGAATAAGTGGTCCATAAAATTGTTACAAATTGAATTTCTCAATGATACATAATAAATATTTTTTTAATTTTAAAAACTAAGTTTTTGTGATAGTATCATTCAATGATAGAGAGAGCCTTCATAATTAAAAATATAATACTAATATAAACTTGTAGAATAACCTCATTTAATTAAATTTTTAACTGTGTCATTGCTTTTATTTGGGCCCCTTGTGATAAAATGTATAGAAATTTGGAGGTCGGTCCCCCTATATGGACTTAAGTCCGTTTTTTGTTAATTTTACCATACTATTCCTTCATTTTACAAGTGAAATACAACTAAAAATTAAAAATTTCTAAATTTTAGGAGTTCGACTAACATTAAAATCTTTTCTTTCTCGTATCTATTTATATCGATATATAGGTTAAGAGTTTGACTAACATTAAAATTTTTCCTCTCTCTTATTTATATATATAACATTCAAAATAAAAAATAGTAACATTCAAATACAAAAAAAAAATTATCATTTGGACACAAAAAAATAATACATTTAAACACAAAAAAATAGTAACATTTAAACATAAAAAAAATTGAAACATTCAATATTAATATTTTTAAAAAATAACATCAGTAACATGTTTAATAAAAATATTAACATATTCAACATGCTTTACAAAAATTGTAACATACTTAACAATAAATTTGTTAATGTTATATATATAGATAAGAGAGAGGGGAAAATATTAATGTTAGTTAAACTCTTAACCTATATATGAATATAGATAGATATGAGAGAAAAAATATTAACTTTCTTTCAAGGAAGAGTATTTTTGAGATAAAAAAAAA